GGGACACTAAAAAATCCCCGAAATCATCTCAAGATAACCTCTCAAGAAGGTTCGGTGTGTTTCAACAGCTGTCACTTCTGTAGCATTGTTACTTAAGGGTATCTGATAGTATCCCTTAGATAAATCTAATTTAGATAAAATTAAAATTATCATGACCAATCTCATCAATGCATTCCCCTAGCAAAGGTAATGGAAAAACCTCCACCACAGTTACCTTATTCAATTGGCGGGAGTCCACACACAAGCGCCACCTACTATCAGGTTTTGGAACTAATAAACAACAACTCCAAGTACTCTGACTCTGTCGAACAAAATCAAGCTGTAGTATCAAGTCCACTTCCTGCTGGATGATTTGTCGTTTCTCAAGAGTCACTCGGTAAGGGTGTAGTTGAAGTGGAGTGGCCTTGGGCAGTTGGACATCATGCGTAATGAGAGGCGTCTGTGTGGGGACCTCCCCAAACAGGCTGGAGTACGTCCTTAAAAAGTCCTGGAACTCTTCTCTCTGCTTATCTTGTAAATGACATAGCAACTCTCCGCCAGAACTGGAATTAATCAAAGGAGGATTACCGCCATTCCGTACACCAGATGTCTCCTCAGGTGTTAACTCCTCATAAACACAACACGCCACAATACTGGACCCACAATAAGACTTTAACCTGTTCACGTGTACAATCATCTTCAGGCGAGTACGCTGTGGATTACAGACTTAATAAGATAAGTTACCGCATTGTTCAACCACTTCATACAGTACTTCAAATTTGTGTGACAAGTCCCCATTCAAGGGTTTAATACCAGCACCAAATTACCAATCTTGAAAGATCTGAGTTTTGCCTTGAACTTCTTATCATTTCGCCCCTTCATTACCTGTTGCACGTCTCCCAGGTGTTGTAACGCCAACTTCTGGGTACGACACAACTGGCTTCTCACATCCTTCAAATATCTGCCACTCTGCCTAGCTGACAGGTCTGCAAGCATTTTCTCTTGGAGCATTTTTAATAGTTTCGTCCAAACACAAGATCAAAAGGAGAATAACCTCGGGCAGTATGCAAACCGTCCCTGGCTGCAAATAACACAAATGGTAGGTGAATACCATTTCACCCGTCCCAATGGCTGGGTGAATACTCCCTTATAGTTTTTAACATCTGTTTCAATGTTTGATGGAACTGTTCAATTCCTCCTTGACTCTGGGGATGGTACATGCTGGAGAATTTATGTTGGCTCCCAAAACAGTTACATAAGTCTGAAATATTTTGCAACATTGCTGCCTTTATCTGTTTCAATGACACGCGGCACACCAAATAAAGAAATAAATCGTTCCAAGTGTTTAATGAGTGTTGCAGCCCTAATAAAATAAAATAAATAAATACAAATATTTATTCAGGTAATGTACATACATACAATGTGAAATACAAAAGTTGATGGAGTTATAGATAGAGTTAGTACATACAATGCCTAAAGCCACTATTACGCAAAGCGTTTCGGGCAGAATAATGTAATCGGGTAATGTTAGGTAAGGCAAACCCTTTTGGTAACCTAGTAGTCATACACATGAGAGTAAACATGAACATATTCCCAGATTTAGTTCAGCGTAAAGGGGCCGACACAATCCAACACCACATGTTGACAGCCGAGTGGACATCGCTTCGGATTCGTAGTCCCTGAGGTTCCGGGTTCGATCTCAGTAGAAGCGGAAACAATGGGCAGAGTTTCTTTAACCCTGATGCCCCTCTTACCTAGCAGTTAATAGGAACCTGGGACTTAGACAGCTGCTACAGGTTGCTTCCTGTCTGTGTGAGAGGAAAAAATGATTGACAGTTGAGAGGCGGGCCGAACGAGCCAAAGCTCAACTCCCGCAAGCTCAACTAGGTGAATACATGTGTAGAGGACTCCACTGGCACCACAATAAGTGGCGAGAGTGATCGTTGAACAGTCTGGTTGGGTTTACCCAGAGTCAGGACGTATTCCATATACCAGGGGGAGACTACAAGTCATCAGGTGGATGAAGGACATCACCAGGGGGACTACAAACCATCAGGTGGATGAAGGACATCACCAGTGGGGACTACAAACCATCAGGTGGATGACGAATACCACCAGGCGAGAAACTAACAAGCTCCAGAACTCATATCAACGGCTAAACACTGGAGAAGTTCTCCTTTAGGAAGGATATAGAGCAGTATTGGTTTGGCAACATGGTTGTAGACGAGCAGAAGAGGTTGTCGCCCTACATCATAAACAATTTTAACATTAACAAATTATATTCCAATAAATCATATGAATATCTCTTCTGTCTCTCAGGACGTGTTGAGCAACTCGATGGAACACCTGGGGTCAGCTGGAGTAAGATGGCTCTCTCAGATGACCGTGTGACGTTACCAGGTAACGCATCGTTACATCTTACAAACGTTCTCCACCGTTGTCTCTAAAAATCCTATCGCCCAATAGGCTAAGTTGTTTCCAACGTATTTATATTTCTTGGACAATATGTAGACTAAAAGGAATTTTATGTTGACATAAGTCAAATTAAGTTAACATTGCCCAAATATTTCTGAAAACTATTTACAGTATTTTGTTTATCCTTGCTATTCAGGTGTTGGAACTCGGTGCATGTACGGTGTTGTCCTTTTAAAGGCTAGGCTTCAGCTGTTGGGCTCCAATTTTTTGGCTTCTCTTCACTAGCAAGTGAATGTAGCCTCCTGTTTCATCCACTATTGATCTTACCTGCCTCTGCTCTACACAGACGCCGTCTAGTCGAATCAGCTCTGATACACAACCGTCCCAACATGAACCTGAGTCCTGGCTTTGTTGCTGTTGACTCTTCCCCTTTACAGTACATACTTATATGCTCCAACCTTCTAAACAAACGTGATCTGACTTAGCTTTGCCTCCGCTCTAGCCTCTCTTTCAAGTGTCTATTTCGTTACTAATTTTGCTCACTTCGTCAATAGGCTTATTGCCATTTTCTTTTCTTTTTGCCTCTCTTTTTTTCTGACGTTTTCTTATTTATAACAGGTTTACTATTATTATTATTATTATTCCTTTTTAATTCCCTTACTTCCGAGCCTTTATATACTTTACCTGATTCTCTTTATTTTTACCTTTTTCTCTTCGTTCTTTTCATCTTATTCTTCATCTTTCTCTTTTATTTATCCCATTTTTCCTCTCACACTCTTTCCTCGTATAGTTCATCTCTTCCACTTCCTTTCCATTATACAACATGATAATGGTTCAGAATGGACCGAAACGTCGTCGTTCCCTCATGTTCTGACGTGTGGTTTAGTTATCATATCTTCACCCACGTAATTCTGACTCAACGTCAGCAATTTGTCTGTTTCTCTTTTAGTTAAGAGGACAAATAATTTATGTAACATAAAGTGAACTAAACCACATCGTAGCTGATACATGCAACCTGACATAATACCCAGAACCTCGGGAGAACACAATTAAACAAACAAGAACATTATAGTGAACAAACCAAGTCATCTCACTGGAAAAATCAAGCTCCTGGTGCATCCACAGAACAGAAAACCTTAAATTAATAATGAGAATTGGCACATAACAGAGAAGCAGAGCCTTGTAACACAAGGGAATGTTACACGAAGCATGAGAGACCATGAGAAACATACAACAGTTACACAACAGTACATTCGTACTTATCCCCGTCACACGAAAATATACGCAATGGTTGTCAACTTATTCTCATCAACTGCTGACTGATTAACCAGCACCTATACTTTGGTCCAGAACATAGTTCAGCGCTAAAGTAAATTCTCGGTGTATATACATTGAGAAATCCTAGTGAACCTCTTGGTGTATATATCCCTGTGACTCCTTGTGTATATTTTAGTGAGCTTACATATGACTTATACATCTGGCAACCATTTGAGGTCATGAAGTGTTTACTACGTGTAAGTACATTTGTTTTTCTCAAACATTTATTATGTTAAAATATTTATTTTTTCATGTATAGTTACAGTTGGCCAAGGAAACATATGGTAAGCTGTTTTGTTTGAATTGATATAAGAAATGTTAACAGTTCAGAGTTGGCAGTTAATTTTTTTTTTTTTTTTTTTTTTTTTTGAGATATATACAAGAGTTGTTACATTCTTGTAGAGCCACTAGTACGCGTAGCGTTTCGGGCAAGTCCTTAATCCTATGGTCCCTGGAATACGATCCCCTGCCGCGAAGAATCGTTTTTTCCAACCCGTCCTCGACTCAAGTCCATTACATCCAGCGGTCAACCCCACAGACGCATTCATAAATTTTAACATGCTGTTCATTCAAAACGGGAATTTTCTCAAGTATAAATTAATATTATAATATATTAGCATATTGTGTATATATAGGCATAGGTTAGGTTAGGTTAGGTGTTTAGGTTCTGTTGGCGATTATTTGTATTTGTAGTACGTGGGTGAAGCATTTATAGCGTTGTGGTTCGAACAAAATTCGTCAGTGAAGCACTTGTTCCGGATATGTTCGAACGTCAGCAGTTGTGAGTCGTGTGTAAACCGCTTTTCATTCATAAACAGGGGGTTTGGCGGGTGCATGGAATCACTTTTGGATCTTTGTTTGGAGGACGGGCTGTTACACACGACTCACAACTGATTTCGTTCGAACACTTCCGGAACAAGTGCTTCACTGACGACTTTTGTTCGAACCACAACGCTGTAAATGCTTCACCCACGTACTACAAATACAAATAATCGCCAACAGAACCTAAACACCTAACCTAACATATGCCTATATATGCACAATATGCTAATGTATTATAATATTAATTTATATTTGAGAAAATTCTCGTTTTGAATGAACAGCATGTAAAAATTTATGAATGTGTCTGTGGGGGGTCGACCGCTGGATGTAATGGACTTGAGTCGAGGACGGGTTGACTACAAATATTAATTTATATATGAAAACAAACCAAATTTTAGTACACAGTATGTTAAAATTTATGAATGCATCTGGGGAGGACGGCCGCTGCATTAAACAGCCTAGGGTGAGGCCGGGTTGATTTTAGTGGTTGTTGTAGAGCAGGTGATGACCAGTGGTGGACTAGAAGCCTTCATCCGCGGTCCACAGTACAAGAATTAGAACTACAAAACACTTATAAATTGGCACAAGAATCGTGCAAAAAATTTAAGGTGTGAAATATCTGAACAAATAGGTGCTGCCGTTTTATATAAAAAAAGGCAAAAAATCATCTGGCGTGACTTGACTAACCGATACACTACGCTTCAGCAAGGGAGGTGCACTTTCGTCTGGGAACAATAATGGCTTACGTGATAGTGCAAGGCAGATTTGGTATAGGAAGTGCACAAGTGGAAGGCCTTGAAAATGCATTCGCTAAGCGCGAACTTGCTTACAGAAGTGTCCTGGACGCCCTGGGGTTCACTCTTGACGCGGACGGTGTTGTGTCCAGCAAGCCTCGTTCAGGTGGAAGTTGTGAAATTCGGGCGTCGAGTCATGGCAGAAAACTTTTGGTCTTGAAACCAGACCTGTTTCCAACAGAGGTTCTCAACGTGATGAAAAAAGCGGGCTTCAGAGTTGTGGCTTCCTCCGCCCTCTCCAATAATGCCGGCAGTGGTGTCGTTGTTTGGACACTAGAAAAACTAAGTAAAGGTCCGTGAACTTGGACGAAGACATTGTCAAACCGGGAAAAAATATTTCGCGTACGTATGCTTGCAGCCCTGGTAGTTTTTTTAACTTTTTAGGTATTGTTAATCATTTTATTACTAACTACAAATTCTCTTTCGAATATCTTTTTTCAGCAACTAGCTCTTTGTACTTTTTTGATTAGTAAAAAAGCATGATTTGGTTAACTTATTGTTAGTATGGATCTAACACTGTTGTAGATAATTTACAGTAGTTTTAGATGCATTTGATTTTTGTATATTCATTACAATTCGTATATTTTGTACACTGTATTATGTTTCTTCTTGGCCTTGTTAACCTGTAACTAAATTAACTATGGCGATATGTAATAAACGAAGTGGCTTGTTACAAATGCTGTGGTGCAATTACATCCAATAAGGGTAAGTTGCCACGAGCAATTAGTTTGTGCTTTCTATAGTCATGATTCCCACACTAGGGGGGGGGGGGACCATGCACATCAACACCATGTAGCAAGAGCAATGTTAAGACTAGCGGTGCAGTAGTTATGTACACTTTACGTACAGGTCATTGTCATTATGTAAATTTCCCGAATACCATTTGTTCTCCAGAATCGGTTTCTGGAACACGATTAATTGTAATAACATTACGCGTATCATTTATTACTATAGCGTTCTGAAGCCTTGTCCAGGTGTACCTTAGACCCACAGCCCAATGCACCTCCTGAGTAGGTGGGTTTAACGACTAAAACCCAGGTTTAGGCGGGTATGACAAAGCAGTGTTAGGTTTTAATCGAAATACATACAATGACGCTAAAACCTCGTGTATCCTTAACATACCATCACAGTAAAACATTTTTCACAAATGTTTTAAAAAACTTTAGGATTTAAGATAAAGTAATTACAAAGTTAGATTTTTTATCACAGCGAAGGACAGTTAAATTGGCTAGTAATGTTTGTTCCTTGCACACCTATTTGTAAGTATGCTCGGCGTATGATCGTCTTATCTAGAAGCTTTTCAATGAAATTACTACAGTACTACATGAGAAGGTTAGTGCTGTTTAGTAATGACTCCTTCCAGGTATAACTTCACATAACCGTATACAATATTTCCTCAATATTCGTATTTTATTGACCGGGGGAAGCAGAGGGGTTGGTTAGGTAGCTTCAGAAATGTTGCATCCGTATGAACAAAGTTTACTAACGATCATTCTGCTTGTTGCTCGGGCAATTACAGGTGTAAAGCTGAAGTATTAGATAGGATAGTCACAATAACGTGGCTGAAGAATGCAGACCAAACCACACGCTAGAAAATGAAAAGACGACGACGTTAGACACAATTGACTTGATATTGGTCAAGGGCGGACCGAAACGTAGTTTCATCTTCTAGTGTGGTTTGGTCAACAAGAGATAGGAACTTGCTGTTTCAGGTGATAGTAAATTAAATGAACATAACTAGGGGTATAAAAGATGTATGAAAGGCGAAATTAGCATAAATGAAGATTCAAAATATAAATTAAAGGGTTCAGAAATGCTGACTAGCAAACGGTTAATGGATTTCTGACGCAGACTTGACAAAGTTGTTGGCAAACAATATCGGTCAATAGCCTTGGCGTAGGCTTGACGGGCCGATAGTGTGTAGGGGTAGTAATATTACTTACCACACCTCCTGGCATGTTCAGATTTAATTATTAATCTTGGTTGTTAATTAACTTATCATTTTATGAAGTGTTTTTATGCATGGAATTGGATCTAAAGATATTGCTCATTATTAGTGCGAAAAAGTCGGCTCGCACTCCACACCACCACCACCACCACCACCACCACCCACCACCACCCACCACAACCACCACCACCACCCACCACCACCACCCACCACAACCACCACCACCACCACAACCACCACCACCACCACAACCACCACCCACCACAACCACCACCCACCACAACCACCACCCACCACAACCACCACCCACCACAACCACCACCCACCACAACCACCACCCACCACAACCACCACCCACCACAACCACCACCCACCACAACCACCACCCACCACAACCACCACCACCACAACCACCACCACCACAACCACCACCACCACAACCACCACCACCACAACCATACTCTACCACCCCCGCCTCTGCCTTGCTGTACGGGGCCGCCCTCGCCCCCAGCTTTACTCTACGGGCCCCCTTCCCCCGCCTCAGCCTTAATTTATAGGGCTCCCCCCCCCCCGCCTCAACCTAACTCCATCCCCCCCCCCCCGGCCTCAACCTAACTCCTATCCCCCCCCTCAACCTAACTCCTATCCCCCCCCTCAACCTAACTCCTATCCCCCCCCTCAACCTAACTCCTATCCCCCCCCCCTCAACCTAACTCCTATCCCCCCCCCTCAACCTAACTCCTATCCCCCCCCTCAACCTAACTCCTATCCCCCCTCCCTCAACCTAACTCCTATCCCCCCCTGCCTCAACCTAAATCCATTCCCCCCTGGCCTCAACCTAACTCCATTCCCCCCCCCCCCCGGCCTCAACCTAACTCCATTCCCCCCCCCCCCGGCCTCAACCTTACTCCATTTCCCCCCCCACGCCTCAACCTAACTCCTATCCCCCCCCGGCCTCAACCTAACTCCAGACCCTGAAACACTACTCTCCGATGTTTAAGACCAGGTGCATTTCAACATTGTATTGCTTAGAATGGTCCAGAAAATGAAAGAGCATGCCGGTAGTGACATGACATTGTTACTGAAGCATTAATGTTTGTTTATTTTTTTGAGATATATACAAGAGTTGTTACATTCTTGTAGAGCCACTAGTACGCGTAGCGTTTCGAGCAGGTCCCTGGAATACGATCCCCGCCGCGAAGAATCGTTTTTTTCATCCAAGTACACATTTTACTGTTGCGTTAAACAGAGGCTACAGTTAAGGAATTGCGCCCAGTAAATCCTCCCCGGCCAGGATACGAACCCATGACATAGCGCTCGCGGAACGCCAGGCGAGTGTCTTACCACTACACCACGGAGACTGTTTAGTTCAATTGTGCAGCTTTTTCATGTTTTGTTTCAGTGAATGTGGGGAAACGGAGCGACGTTCATCCTGGGAGGCGCAGTAACTACAGTTCTTCCCGTGGCTTACACCGGAGCCTTCGACCCGACTCTCTCCTGGGAAATGTAGTAGTCACCCGTGCCTGTTACCCCTGTTCACCTTCACACCAGGAACGGACACATTAGCACATAATTACTTGCACTGATAATTTCAGTTTGATGTAATTAATATTGATTGACATACGGTAATGTTTAGCTTTATTCTTCGGACAATTTTACCTGGAAGAAACAAAAATGCACTTAAATGGTCAGCATTTTATTAGACATGTTCCATCGTCCGAAGTTACAAACTGCAGTTTTGTTGTGAATATTAAAAATAGTTATGTTCTTTTAAGTAGGTTTTAACAATATTGTAACTATGGACAAGTTACATTGTTTTTAGTTATCTTTCTCCTTTTAATTTTTCTTATTTACTCTTGAAATTAATTTTTAAACTTTTAACTAACGTTTAATACACGGTAATTAATAAAGACGTTCAATAATTTGCTTGTTTTTTCTAATGTTCCTCCTTTAATTATAATAAAGAAATATACTTGTTGATTAATGTGTAAAGATTCCAGTGCTGTCGGGCCTCGCAGACTATACTTGTGAAAATTTCTGAAATTTTATTCTATATAGCTTGACAAACTTGCTCCTGGGGGGACTGCAAATTAATGTTCGATTAACATAACGTAAAGAAACCTAACCCTAACCTAATGTAACTTTAACCATGGATGGAGACTAGATAGTAGCAATAATTATAGTTTTCGATCCATTCCCGTGAGTGTCCTCTCCGTGGTGCCTCCTTGCCGTGGCGAGGGGCTCACGTACACTTCCCTGGGACCGTTGTGGGTTGCCTTTGTTCACTCTCCTGCCCCTTCTTTGGGTGGTGTACGTGCTGAAGGGCACCATGTTGGGGCCTTGTGAGCCATTGGACCACCCGCTGGAGGGGTCGCCTGTGAGGGACCGCCCCGAATGGATGGTCAGGCGTCCAGGCTGGAGTGATAAGGGGAATGAGGTCTTAGCACCAGTGTGGGAGAATGGACGATGTAGGACTCCCCTGTTGAAAAGGGGGAGCACTCCTGGGGACGACGCAAAAGTTCATCATCTCCCCTCTTTCGCTGGCGTCTTCTATGGTCGTGTGGTGCGCTCTTCCTCTCCTCGTCCTTCCCACCTTGCTCAGTCTCACAACAGTTTACAAGCCTTAGACCCGGACACGCCCACCACCACCTCCCCTGTTTCTCTCCGTTCTGTCCCGGAGGGTCCCCCTCCTGGTTCTCTTAAGGTTCCCCTTATTTCTACCCAGTCATGTATCCTGTATCTTCTTTCTCCTCTTCCTCTGGTCCTCCTTCCCATCATTCTCCTCAGTCTCTTGGCTCTACACGCCGCCCGACTGTGTGGGCCAATCTCCATCGCTCTCCTGGTGGTCATGTTGTTCGTTCTCGCTCTTCTTCTCCTACCGAGACGCTGGAGTCTGTTGCCCAGTACATTGCTGCTGGGACCCATGTCAGTCAGAAACGGAAACCTGGCTCCTCTCCTTCCTCCTCCCCGGTAGGTAAGAAGGCTTCGCTTTCTTCTTCGCCCCCTATTACTGATTCTCTCGGAAACTCCTCTGCCACAGACCTGGAAGCGTATCTGCAAGATAGCGGGTAAGTTCGTTCCCGATGTTTCACCAGTCCTTCACCTCCATGGTACTCTCGTGACTGACCCGTTGCAGGTCGCAACCGAACTGGGTTCCCACTTCTCTTCTGCTAGCTCTGATCTTCATCTTCCCCAATCTTAACTTCTTCGTAAACCTGTCCTTTAGTCTCGTCCTTTAGATTTCTGCACTCGTCTTCGACTTCCCTATAACGATCCCTTCTCTCTCTGAACTTCGTTCTGCCCTGACCCTCTGGGGTTTTACGGCGGTGGGCTCCGATGGTATTCATTATGAGATGCTTCGCCATCTCCCTCCGTGCACGTCTCGGTATTTACAGACTCTGTATAATCGGATCTGGGAGTCGTCGTCAGTTCCTGAGGACTGGCTCGATGCCGTTGTCCTCCCTGTTCGCATACCAGGGTCTCTGGGAACATCCCCTAAGGACTTTCGCCCTATTGCCCTCAAAAGTTGTCTGCAAACTCTTTGAACGAATGGTTAACGTTCGTCTGATGTGGTTCCTGGAACACTATCACCGCCTCTCCCTTTCTCAATTTGGTTTCAGCAAGTGCTGCAGCACGACAGATGTCCTAGTGAACTTGGAAGTCTATATTCGTACTGCTTTTGCTGCAAAGACCTCCGTTGTTGCCGTCCTTATAGACCTGGAAAAGGCTTACGACGACACTTGGCGATATCATATTCTGTCCCAGCTTTACTCTTTTGGCCTTCGTGGTCATTTCCTTCTTTCTCCGCAGCTTCCCCTCTCGTCGTTCCTTTTGGGTGCGGCTTGGTACCGCTCTCTGCCTCTTTTCAGCAATACAAAGGTGTGCCCCAGGGAAGTGTTCTGAGAACTACTCTTTTTCTGGTTGCCCTCAATGGTCTTCTTTCCTCTTCCTTCAGGCGTCTTCTCCGCTCTCTATGTAGATGATCTTACCCTTTGCTGTCAGGGTGATGATTCGCCTCTCCTTCAACGCCGGCTGCAACTTGCGACTGATGCCGTGTCGTCTTGGGTCACCGATCATGGCTTAAAGTTCTCTACTAATAAGACTTGTGCCATGACTTTTACTCGGAAACGGGTTGTTCTTCGTCCCTCTTTGTCACTTTATGGTCATCCCCTTGAGTACAAAGATTCTACGAAGCTTTTCGGGTTATTCCTTGACATTCGTTTGTCTTGGTCTCCCCATATCTCTTACCTCTGTGTAGAGTGCTCCAAGGCCCTTGCCCTCCTTCGGGTATTGTCCCATACTTCTTGGGGAGTGGGTAGGCGCGCACTCCTTGCTTTACATTCCTCTCTCGTCCTGTCTAAGCTAGAGTATGGTTGCCCTGCTTACTCGTCTGCTTCTCCTTTTACCCTTCGCCGTGTTGATGCTCTGCATCATACTGGGTTGCACTTCAGTTCTGGTGCCTTTCGTGCGACTCCCGTCCTTAGCTTGTATGTTGACACTGGCTTCCTGTCCCTCCAGAACCGCCGTGATCGCTACTGACTTTGCTATCTTGCGCGGTCCTTACCACATCCTTCCCTCGCCTCTGTCGTGCTTTAACATTTACCCCTCTTGCGGTTCCTGTTCCTCCTCACCACCTCCCTCTTTCTGTCCGGTTATCTCGCTTACAGGATTCTCTTTCCGTTTGTATTTCTAATGTTTCTCCTAGTATTGTTCCTTCTTTGCCCCCGTGGAGTCTCCCCCTTCCGCAGTTTTGTACATCCTTGACCCGCATCACTAAAACTTTTACCCCTCCTACGGTTCTAAAACGCGTTTTCCTTGAGCACTTTTCTTCTCGCTCCGTTTCTGTCTTCACCGGTGGGTCTAAGTCTGCGAACGGTGTTGGCTACTGTTGTTTTTCTTGATCGCGCTTATGTGTCGCTTATTTCCAGAGACTAGCATCTTCACAGCAGAGCTTTATGCTATTCTCTATGCTCTTCGTCTCCTGCTTTCTTGTCAGTCTTCCTTTGTAGTTGTTGTTGACACTCGTAGTGCCCTCATGGCTCTCTGGTACTTTAATCCGGTTCATCCAGTAGTTGAGATCCAGCATTGGCCGTTTCTTGTTCACAGTAAATTAGTCAGTTTAGTTTTGTTGGGTTCCCAGCCATATTGGTGTCTTTAAATGTGTGCGGATGCTGCCGCCAAGGAAGCTGTCCACTCTTGTCCCATCTCTCATAAAGGTATTCCATATTTCGACTTTTACCCAGTTATCCTTTCCTCCATCCTAACCTGTTGGCCGGCTTCTTGGTCGTTTGTTACTGGTAACAAACTACGTACTCTTAATGTGTTTCTTCATGGCCGTCCTCCTACCACCGTAACCGGCGATGGGAAACGACTCTGGCGAGGTTGTGTATTGGCCATTCTCGCTTAACCCATGGTCACTTGATGGAGCGCCGCCCTGCTTCTAATTGCATTGTCCCTCTTATGGTCGTGCATGTCCTTCTTGAATGTCCTGACCTCCAGGATGATCGTGTCTTGCTTTCTGATCGCCCCTCGCGATCACCTGTTTCTCAATAGAATTCTTGGCGACTCGGATACTTTTGATATCGTTCGCCTTGTGCTGTTTTGCCCTCGTATTGGCATCCTTGGTGATATTTAGCGCTCTCTGATTATTCCACACATTTGATGGTGCTACATAGCCTTCCCGGTTTGTTGCCTTTTGATAATTTCTGATTCTATCGTTCCTCCCGCTTCGATAATAGAGCCCCCTGTTCTTACTGTGGAGGTTTCTTTAGCCTCGGTTCTGTCTCGGTTACTGCCCTTGCTGAGGTGCGCTCCCCTCTTTCTGCCTTTGTATGCCTCTTTCTGCTCCTGCTCCTCCTCCTCCTCCTCCTCCTCCTCCTCCTCCTCCTCCTCCTCCTCCTCCTCCTCCTCCTCCTCCTCCTCCAGACCCTGCTCGTCCACCTCTGGTCTGTCCTCCCGCTTCTTTCCCTCCTTCTTTACTCAGTTTACCCATGCCCCCTAACCCTGACTTCGCTGACCCTGACCCTGTGCTGCTTTAACGTGCTGTGTTCATTTTTCACCTTTGTTTCTTTTTTGCTCTCTGCTATCCTCTCTTTTTGCTGATGTCTATTCTTCAATGGAACATCCGTGGATATTAGGCCAATTTCCTTGACCTCCAACTTCTAATTTCAGTTTTTGCCCTCTTTGTGTCTGTCTCCAGGAGCCGTTGCTTGGTGCTCGTCCTAGTCGTTTCCGTGGTTATTCTTTTCTCTCCTCCCCTCCCCCCACAGCTGGGGCCCATAACTCTTCTGCTCTCTTGATTCGCTCACATGTTCCCTTCGTCCCTTTACTTTTTTCCTCGCCCCTCCACTGTAATGCTGTCCGTGTCTTTGTGCTTAAATCATATACGGTTTTTGCCATTTCTCCCCGCCAACCCCATTGTCCCACTTTCTCTTCCTGATCTTAAACAACACCTAGACACCTTGCCTGGGCTCCTGCTAGGGGATTTCAATTGTCATGCCCTTGGGGTGATGTGCTGACAAACACCCGGGGTCACCTTGAACCTTTCATCCTCTCTTCTTCTCTGTCCCTTCTGAATTCTGGTGAGCCCACTCATTTGGACTCTCGGACTCGATCCCTTTCCTGCCTCGATCTTTCTCTGTGCTCGTCATCCCTTTCCTTAGATTTCGGGTGTCGGGTCCTTGATGACCTCCATGGCAGTAAAAATTTTCCTATCCTTGTTACTTTCTCTTTTCACTCTCCTCTCTCCTTCCCTAGGTGGGGGTTTGCTGAGGCTGACTGGCGCCTCTGTACTCTCCGTGCTACTATTTCCGACCTCTCTGTTCTGCCTCTCCCTTGCGCCCTCCTTCTTTTCATGACAGTTTTTTATGCTGCCTTCCGCTCTATTCGTAAATCTTCCTCTCGGGGAACGCGGAAGTGCGTT